TGATAACCTACATCCTGGAGACAACTCTCTAAAGAGCACATATTGGGTTCCACTGATCCACCCATCGTTCCACGGAAGCACAGTTGTAAAGAAAGGCAAACTATAATGAGAAGGCCACCTGCAGCACACAGAGGCAGGTGACCATGGCAGTTGTTGTCAACCTGGTTGGCCTGACAAAGCCATTTCCACTTCAAGGGAAGCCCTGTTGCAGGGAACAAACACACACTTTTGAGGGTCGGGGTACCATCTGCTCCAGAGAGTGCTTCATGGGCATAAACCATGTGGCCTCTGAGACTTCAACTCTTCCAGTTTTAGTGCCACACAGCTCCTTTCTGTTCCCATAGTCAGGTCAGCCTAGGAGCTCATTGGGTTCTTTAAAGTCAGTTTACACATTCTAGCCTAGTCCTGCAAGATCTGGCTCTGTCTACCCGTGTAACCTCTTGATGCTGCTCTGTCCTCCTTGCCCTGTAACCACCACCTGTACTAGACTTCCTGCAGTTCTTCCTATCTACCTGAGCATGATCTTTTCCACTCTCTCCAGGCCTTTGCCCATGCCATCCACTGCCTGGTACACCCTTCCTATCCTTGTCAAGTGTCATCCTAAAGGTCCTTTCCTCAGGGAGTCCTTCCCTATACCCACCAACATGAAGTCAGGACTCCCTCCATTATACTCTCTGTATCTATACCTCTACAGTTGTAATACTTGTCACACTTTCTCATAGTCACGGGATTAATATATCTTCTCTTCTAGTCACTGGAGGTCCAGGAAGGCAGAAGCCACTCCTGTTCAATTTTCTGTCCTCACAACCTAGCAGATTACCTGCCATCTTCACAGATACTCAATAAATTCTTGAATGAAAGAACAAATGATATCACACCTAACAATGCTTAGGAGTCAGAGAGAAGAAAATGGTCCTAGAATGCTGTTCTTACAGAATTTAATAATGTTCATAGATAATATTTATAAAATTAGTAGATACAGATTTTCAATCACACATATTAAATGAATTATTAAACATAGTCCCCTCGGTTACAGGGACAGTCTCTCACTTAAGGGTCAATTTCTGAAACCCAAACAGAGCTGCCCTTCAGGCCTACTACAGAATTATTGATAAGCAATATTACAAGCTATGACAGTGTCCTTCTAGTCCTTTTTTTTTTTTTTTTTTTTAGATTGTGTTTTCCTCTGTCACCCAGGCTGGAGTGCAGTGGCAGCAGCCTCTACCTCCCAGGTTCAAGGGATTCTCCTGCCTCAGCCTCCTGAGTAGCTGGGACTATAGGCGCCCACCACCATGCCAATTTTTGTATTTTTAGTAGAGATGGGGTTTCACCATGTTAGCCAGGCTGGTCTTGAACTCCTACCTCAAATGATCCACCCACCTGGGATTACAGGTGTGAGCCACTGCGTGCGGCCAACAGAATCTATCTTAACAAGTGGCTGTAGGTTGGGCACAGTGGCTCACGCTTGTAATCCCAGCACTTTGGGAGGCTGAGGCAGGCGGATCACGAGGTCAGGAGATCGAGACCATCCTGCTAAGTAAGTGTAAGGTAAACTCTTAGCTTGCTGCCAAGTAAGTTTAAGGTAAACAGTTAAGTGCCCAGTAATTAACAATTATTGTTATTAACCCCAACAAAAGCAAATGTTTAAAGATGTCTGAGCAGGAGAAATGATCAAAGAGGTTCTTGAAGATTAATCTCACCAATTACTTCTCCTCCAGAGTTAAAATATCAAATCTATCACCTCTTCCCCCTTCCTCACTCTATAACATCCTTCCCAGTGAACATCATCCCCAGGAGGAGCCCAAAACCAGCAACTAAGGCTCTCTCATGTTAGTGAAAGGATTCCAGCTGGTGAGCCCCACCACTGTGGGGACAAACTCAATTGAGTTGAGCTATGGTCTCTGGGATGGAGGCTCACAGCCACCTAATCCCACCCTCAATGTACTCAGCCACCACTACCCAGGATTTACATCCAGGGTGCACTCTGAAGAGAATAAAACCAGTGATATTTCTTTTCAATTCTAAAGCATAGATATTTCCTCCTAAAACACACGGAAGGGTCCAGGTTTTCAGAATGACCCTGTTTCTCAAGTCCCTTAACTGCTAACCTAGGAGCTTATCCTCTGGAGAGTTTCTGAAGAAAGGCTTCTCTTTGCCTCAGTTTCCTTATCTGTAAAATGGGTGATAATAACGGTACTACTTCCTGAGGTCCTGGTGAGAATTAGATGAGTCAATATGTATAAAGGGCCTAGAACACTACCTGGCACATAGTAAGTGCTCCGTAGGTGTTAGCTTAACTTAATTATGAACTTTAGTTCTTCCATCTTATTTGTACTGCTTTCTATTTGTGATCATATATTTTTCAATTACTAAGCATTAACAGTGGCCTTGTAAGAGACTATTTCAGCCCTAGTGCACCTTTGGGGCAGCAGTTTGGCTGGTGGCTTATAAATAGTCATCCCCCAGATCAGAGGCACCCATGCTTTTCTATAGACCCCGTGTAAGTTGTATCTGTTAATTTCATTCATTGAGAAACATATACTGTAGATAAAAGAATCCAGTAAAGCCTTTAATTGGTAACTTTATTAATAACAATAGCATCTACACACATTTGAAAACACACATGTAGGAGACAGTTAAGATTTATTCAGTCTGTGATAATGTCTAGAGCTCATTTGGATTCATCAGACCCCTGCTATCAACTCCAAAAACCCTTAGCCAAAAACAGAGTTGAATCACTCATCAAACCATCAGTGTCTTCCTCGGCAGAATCAAGGGTTGGACAGAAAGAGTAAATATTCTGTACCTCCACAAAATAACACTAAAATGCAATTGTCCTGCATCTGAGAATACAAGGGTGGACAGTATGAGCTGCATGACTGTGAACCAATGAGGCTTCCCTTGGCCTCATTTGTAAAAAGGAGATTAACCCTGTAGTCCTGCCTATCTTGCATGTCCTCCTGAAAAGCAAATGAGGTGGTGACTGTCAATTAAAAGCTCCTCTCCTTTAAGAGGGGAACACCAAGCGGGGAGAGTAAGAAAAGAAGGAAAAGGCTCTTTCCAGTGACCAATACGCTGAATTTGATGAAAATCCAAAAGAGGTTATGCTAAACTGGGAAGCGTAAGGGTGGATCTACCATTGCCACCTCCTCTTTGATGCAAAAAAAATCTTAACACGGCCCCCTCCCAGCTGTTGCACTGAGGTGACTAAGGATATATTTGAGGGAGTAGCTCCAAAAACATTTCCATTTTCACCGTACTTTCACATACATCTAATGGAAATGAACAGCACCCATCATCCATCCACGGAAGCGATTAAGAAAACGATGGGATGGAAAAACTAACCCAACAATATTACATCAATACGTAGTATTTAAGTAAGTGTCCATAATGTGCCAGGCTGAAGATGCACGGGAAAACCACACCAGCCGGTCAAGGGCTTGAGAATACCATAAACAAGAAAACAGACGAACCAATTTCAGACAGCTGCTAGGAGGAGGATAAAATGAGACAGGCAAGTATGAGTGGCGCGAATTCCTTAGTGGATGACGTAGGTCTCTGACAGGTGACTTTTGAGCCCGTATCTACACGGTAAGTGCCTCGCAGTGACCTGGGGCCGTAGCCTTACCCTTTAAAGCAGAGACCATTAAATGCAAAAATTATCAACAAAACGAGAAATAGGAATTTCAAAGTCTCAAAGTGAACGACGGAAACTGAAATCTACAAATTAGAAAGAGGCGCAGAATTTTGAATATTCATATCGCCCAATCAGGAAAAGGCTGGGACCCGGCTGCGCGGGCTTCGTCCAAAATACACAGAACGGCTGGTATCCACAGGAGACCCCATCGCACGGCAGAACTGGTGAAGCGTCAGTCATACAGAGCTGTCACGCAGTGTTTGCGGAACCTGGGCTGAACTGTCCTGGAGTTCTCTTAAATAACAGCCGAACTCAGCCACTTCGTTTTAGAATGAAACAGACCCAAGAAGCCACCAGGGCGCCAGTGTGGGGCGGGAGTGGGGGCGGGTAAAGAGGCGGATTCCCAACATCCTAATTGAGAACCGACTCCTGGGAAAGCTAAGCAGCACAATGAGTGAAGACACGCTCTAGATTCAAAAGCAAATCCAATCATGCACCGGGGACCTCAAGTTCCAAATGGTTAAAAAGCTACGTGTGGCATTTCCCATGACCTTTACACTAAAATTACTTGATGAGAAGAAACTAAGGGAGTAAGTGAACAAGCTCTTTTCTAGTGATTAGGTGGGTGGCTCTGAAAAGAGCCTTTGGAGTCAAGCAGCCGGCGACTCGAGCGAGCGAGCGCCAGGTCCCGGCAGGGACTCACTTGGAGCTGGTGTACTTGGTGACCGCCTTGGTGCCCTCGGACACGGCGTGCTTGGCCAGCTCGCCGGGCAGCAGCAGGCGCACAGCCGTCTGGATCTCGCGGGACGTGATGGTGGAGCGCTTGTTGTAGTGCGCCAGGCGGGACGCCTCTCCCGCGATGCGCTCGAAAATGTCGTTGACGAAGGAGTTCATGATGCCCATGGCCTTGGACGAGATGCCGGTGTCGGGGTGGACCTGCTTCAGCACCTTGTACACGTAGATGGAGTAGCTCTCCTTGCGGCTGCGCTTGCGCTTCTTGCCGTCTTTCTTCTGGGCTTTGGTGACGGCTTTCTTGGAGCCCTTTTTAGGAGCCGGAGCGGATTTTGCCGGTTCAGGCATGGTAAGACACAGTACAAACGCGACTTAGCCAAGAAAAGAAGTAAGAGAATGGGCGGGCCTGATTCTTTTATAACCACCTTATGCAAATTAGGGCTCCGAAAGTCATTCATTTCCATTGGTCCGTGTGCGGACCTTGCGTTTTCAGCAATGCGTACGCAACAACACCGACTCTTGACTTGATTGGCCGGATCTGAAGCCACATTAGGACCAATGAAAAACTCGTTCTAGACCCCACCCCTAGGAAAGCTTATAAAGGCTTTCCTCTTGGTTCTCTTTCAAGCTTATTTTGTAGCGAGGTTCTGAGCATTGTCTGTGTTTAACCTTGGTTTCAGTCATGTCTGGTCGTGGCAAACAAGGAGGCAAGGCTCGCGCCAAGGCCAAGTCGCGCTCGTCCCGCGCTGGCCTCCAGTTCCCGGTAGGGCGAGTGCATCGCTTGCTGCGCAAAGGCAACTACGCGGAGCGGGTGGGGGCTGGCGCGCCCGTCTACATGGCGGCGGTCCTCGAGTACCTGACTGCCGAGATCCTGGAGCTGGCGGGCAACGCGGCTCGGGACAACAAGAAGACGCGCATCATCCCTCGTCACCTCCAGCTGGCCATCCGCAACGACGAGGAACTGAACAAGCTGCTGGGCAAAGTCACCATCGCCCAGGGCGGCGTTTTGCCTAACATCCAGGCCGTTCTGTTACCAAAGAAAACCGAAAGCCACAAAGCCAAAAGCAAATAAATGCAGACAGACAAACCAAAGACCAAAGGCTCTTTTTAGAGCCACCCAAGTTTTCAAAAAAAGAGCTAATGCGCTATTTCGTGATCAGCCCTTCATTTGACACTTTGGTGGCTCTTAAAAGAGCCTTTGGGGTGAATGAGTATGGTGTCAAGCCTCTTAATTACTTGTTCTTGCCAGGCTTGTGACTCTCCGTTTTCTTGGGCAACAGGACAGCCTGGATATTGGGTAAGACGCCGCCCTGGGCAATGGTGACACCCCCGAGTAACTTGTTGAGCTCTTCGTCATTCCTCACGGCTAGTTGCAGATGGCGAGGGATGATGCGCGTCTTCTTGTTGTCCCGAGCCGCGTTGCCCGCTAGCTCCAGAATTTCCGCGGTCAGGTACTCGAGGACCGCCGCCAGGTACACCGGGGCGCCTGCCCCCACCCGTTCCGCGTAGTTGCCCTTGCGCAGCAAGCGGTGCACTCGCCCCACCGGGAACTGGAGGCCAGCGCGGGACGAGCGCGACTTGGCCTTAGCGCGGGCCTTGCCTCCCTGCTTTCCGCGTCCTGACATTACGGCTAAAATTGCAGTTACAGCTTCTTTTACAAGGAGAAGAATGTGGAAAGAATAACCAATTTGATGTAATTTATAAGAGCTACCGGGAGGGGTGAAGGGAAGTCGTTTGATTGGCTAAAAGCGGAGCCGTATCCAACAGCCAATAGAAAAGCAGAAAGCCGCCTCTTGGTTTGCATCCTGCCCTGAAAGGAAATGACGGATTTCGTAAGTATCTACCAATCGCTGAGAGCCACATTAAAGCCCCTTATTTGCATGGCAGGATCTTTAAAGAGAGTAGGCTTTCAAACAAAATGCTGGTTCTGTCTTGTACTATGGGGTTTTGCTTTGCTTTGTTTAGTTTACAGCCGGTAAATCCCAACATGGACCCTAAGAAACTGCAGAAGACATCCGTAGACTGAGAGTTACTCTCACGCAAGAGTAGGGGATTCTGAAGCCGATGATCCCCTTGAGCTCTACACTACCAAGTCCCGCCCTTTCTGTCTCGTCACAACCAAATTCCCTTTAAAAATACAAGTACTACTAAGGCTGCCTCCTTTCTCGCCCCTCAACTTATGTCGCCCGCAGCGACTCCGCCCCACCCCCACCCGCCTGCGCTCCTTGGAATTCAGTTTGACCGAGGCTAGATTTGTCATCCTCTTGACCTCCAGGAGGCGGCCTTGAAACTTACTCCCTTGGCTTTCAAAATGTCGCCCTCCGTTTTTCTTCTTACCTCGCCGGCTTTTCTTATCCTGCTTCCCCATGCCATTTCTAAATCTGTGAGTCCAGCTGGATTCTGCTTCTCTATCTCCAATTCTTCACTTATCCCGAAGAGTCTTACCCATTTATATGCTTTCAACTAACATCCAAATTTGTTTCAGAAGCTCAGACCCTTGTGCCTAACTGCTTACTGAATACTTCAACCTACTACTTGTCCCAACGAGCACCTCAAACTCAAACTCAACCTCAGCCTATTCGAATGCGAACTCATGCAAACAACCTCCCCTCTTTGCCCTCTTCCTGAAATGCACCAGCATACTTACAGATAACTAAGCCGAAATCGACTCTACTCTTCCCTTCGTCTCAGCATGTCCAGTCAGTTGCTTCCTTAATATCCCTTCAATCTTTTTCTCCATGCTCCCTTGTCCACCTCATCATCATCCCTTAGATTTCAGCAACAGCCGGGAAAGGGTAACTTTGCCGTCAGGCATTAATTGCTGGTGTGACTCCAGCGGCCTTAGAAATCTTTCCTGAAAGCTCTTCTTTTTTTCTTTTATCCCATATAACAGATGAACCTGAAAGCTCTTGTGTTTCTTCCTCCTCAACGTCCCATCTCTGGGAGTTCTACATCTCCTACACCATTCTCACCCTTTCCTTAGTATCCCTTAAGGTCAGGTAGAATGCTAGAGAGAAAAAATAGACTTGTGGTTTTTTTGTTTTTTTGAGGCGGAGTTTCGCTCTGTCGCCCAGGCTGGAGCACTTCTCAGCTCACTGCAACCTCCACCACCACCTCCTCTACCCCGCCCCCACCCACCTGGGTTCAAGCGATCCTCCCACCTCAGCCTCCCAAGCAGCTGGGATGACAGACGCCCACCACCATGCCTGGCTAATTTTTGTATTTTTAGTAGAGATGGGGTTTCATCTCTACTAATGTTGACCAGGCTAATCTCGAACTCCTGATCTCAAATCTCGAATGTTGGCCAGGCTGGTCTCGAACTCCTGACCTCATGATCTGCCCACCTCAACCTCCCAAAGTTCTGGGATTACAGACGTGAGCCACTGCACCCGGCCAGAAAATACTTAAATCTTATTCTCTGACACCTTTTCTGATGTTTTCTCCTTTATTCTCACCAGTTTATTCAACTGGCATTTATTGGATGTGTGCTGTTGGGCAATGGGTGTATAGATAATTGAAAGTAGTACAAACAAGTCTGTGATGAAATGCCTCCAGAAAATGGAGGAAATCTGGTGAACTCTGAGAGTTAAATTAGTTAAAATCAGCTACGTATAGAGATTACTCCTGGTAAGAATGCTGGTATAGATTTGGGAAACACCAAAGTTCAGACAGAGATGACCAGGGTGTAACCTAAGATCCTTCTAATCCAATTGATTATATCATTTGAGAAGATGAATGTTAACAGAAAGGTGCAGTCTACATAGAGTCCAAACAGGTGGCAATTGTAGTAGAAATATGTTATGTTTTCACCAACAATAAAATATATCTGGCAGAGGCAAAGTTTGGCCTACTAGAAAAGGGTCCTTGGTTATGAAAGCATCAGCCTTTTCTCACAGCCTGGGTGAAGTATTTCTGAAGACTATCCAAGTTCCTTCATTCAGATTCTGTGCTCAATTAACAACTTTCTGATTGTTCTATTCCAAGATAAACACATAAGACTGAAGTAGGGGGAGCCAGTTATAGAAAGATGTTCATCATAGAATTCAATGAATTTGCATTTTGGACTATTCATAAATTTCGTGTGTACTTTGTTAGCATGGGTCCCTCCCCAAGAAGCCAGTCAGTCCTGGAAGTTCTAATAGTGTCAACTTTTCAGACCTAAAGGGCTGAGAACAAAACCCAGATGATAGGGGACCCTACCATAATCCTGGCACCCCATAAGGCCCTGCTTGAGGGGCATGCTGACCTTCCTTTCTTTCTCTGACCTCCTCTTTTTTTTTTTTTTTTTTTGTTTTCCAGACAGAGTCTCACTCTGTCACCCAGGCTGGAGTGCAGTGGCAGAATCTCAGCTCACTGCAACCTCTGCTGCTTGGGTTTAAGTGATTCTCATGCCTCAGCCGACAAATAGCTGAGATTACAGGCATGCGCCACCACATCCAGCTAATTTTTGTATTTTCAGTAGAAACAGGGTTTTGCCATGTTGTCCAGGCTGGTCTCGAACTCCCAAAGTGCTGGGATTACAGGTGTGAGCCACTGCGCCTGGACTTGACCTCTGATTTCTTTTTTACTTATATCACAGTGCTCTGTGCCATAAGAAGGGTGAAAGAAAAAAAAAGATTATGTTGAAACCCTACTATGATAAACCCTACAGTAGCAACTGCCTACAAAGTAGATAAAATTATGTGTTTCACAAATAAACTGAAGCTCACAGGGATTAAAACAATTGCTGGGCTGGGTGTGGTGGCTCACGCCTGTAATCCCAACACTTTGGGAGACCAAGGCAGATGGCTTTTACCCAGGAGTTTGAGACCAGCCTGGGCAACATGGCGAAACCCCATCTCTACAAAAAATACAAAAATTAACTGAGTGTGGTGGGGTACACACCTGTGACCTGTGGTCTCAGCTACTTGGGAGGCTGAGGTTGGAGGATTACTTGAGCCCAGAAGGCACAGGTTGCAGTGAGCAGAAACAGCGCCACTGCACTCCAGCCTGGGCGACACAGCAAGACTCCATCTCAAAAAAAAAAAAAAAAAAAAAAAAAATTGCTGAAGGTCACACAGCCACATGATTAGAGTCTAGGTCTGCCTGACTCAAAGAACATGCTCCTCACGATGTCATTCACACTCACACTAACTAGATGTTGGGCTTAATGAAGTCATTTAATTTATCCAGCCATTGTTTCTTCCTCTGTACAAAAAAAGGAAGAAAGAATTATTAGAGGAGAACTTCCCTACTCCCACACAAATATCCTTGCTGTGCCCACATTTCTTTGTTCATATCCTGGTGACAGCACTCAGCATTCGGTACTGTGCCTTTTTTTTTTTTTTTTTTTTTTTGAGATGGAGTTTCGCTCTGTCGCCTAGACTGGAGTGCAATGGCACGATCTCCGCCCACTGCAACCTCTGCCTCCCAGGTTCAAGAGATTCTCCTGCCTCAGTCTCCCAAGTAGCTGGGATTACAGGAATGTGCCACCATACCTGGCTAATTTTTGTATTTTTAGTAGAAGTGGGGTTTCACTGGATTTGCAAACTGCAAGGTCCTAACAAAAGTAAGTCCTGTAGATGCCATCTTTGTAGCAGCTTTCTAATCAATTTACTTCTCTCTAGCCCATCTTGTGCCTTCACTCAGGTTATCTTTCACCCAGACTACCAACAAAGACTTTTCTGCTCCTCTCCCTGCTTCTACTCTTCCCACTCCTCACTAGAGTGGCCTTTCTAATAAACATTCTGATTCTTTTCTCACCATCTACTCTCTCCCCAGGTGAGCACGTACCACACCTCAGCCCCACCCCCATGATCTCATTTTATCTTCAACAACCCCTAAGAGATGTCTCACATATACTTCTCAGATGCTAAAATTAGTGGGAAAAAAATTAATGGAGAAATAAGAAAGTAGATAGACTTAAAGTATCTTCCACAATTACAGACAGAAAAGGAATTTTATAGTGGAAAAGCCTGACAGATACCATCTTAATCAAATGATCAGAATTATCACTAGTAATAAGAAAAATAAAGATCATGTGCCCTGGTAAGTTTCACAGAGAAGAATTCAACATTACTTCTGCAGTATTCTGGCCAAAAAATGCATGTGCTAAATTTTAATCATAAAGAAACATCAGACAAACCCAGATTGAGGGACATTCTACAAAATAAATGTCTGTAACTTCAAAACTGCCAAAGTCATGAAAGACAAAGAAAATCTAGGAAACTATTCCCAGTTAATGGAGAACAAAGAGATATAACAACTGAATGTAACATGTGATCCTAGATTGGATCCTGGACCAGAAAATATTTCTTTTCATTTTATATATAGGATAGAAGTGAACAATTGGCAAATTTTGAATAAGGTCTGTAGATTAGATAATAGTACTGTATCTGTGTTAATTTCTAGAGTCTGACAGTTATATTCTGGTTATGTGAGAAAATGTCTTTTTTTTTAAGTAAATATACATTAGTCAGGATTCTCCAGGAAAACAGAACCAATAGTAGATAGATTGATAGATTGACAGATAGTTTTATTATAAAAAATTGGCTTTTTGATTATGGAAGCTAATAAATCCCAAGATCCCCGAGATCTTCAGGGTAAGCTGGCAAGCTGGAGAGCCAAGAAAGGTGATGATATAGTTCCAGTCCAAATCCAAAGGCCTGAGAACCAATGGTGTAGTTCCAGTCCAAAGGCCGAGTCTAAGACCCAGATGGAGCCAGTGTTTACTCCTGAGTCTGAAGGCTGGGAAAAGCCAAAGTCCGGGTCTCAAAGCAGTCAGGCAGAAGGAAGTCTCTCTTACTCAGGAGAGGGTCTGTCTTTTTGTTCTAGTCAAGTTTTCAACTGGTTGGATGGGACCCACCTACATTAGGGAGGGCAATTTACTCTGTCTACCAATTCAAATGTTAATTTCATTCAAAATACCCTCACAGAAACACCCAAATTTTGCCAAATATCTGAGCACCAATCCTCTAGAAGTTGGCACATTAACCATCACAGGCCGGACGTAGTGGCTCACGCTTGTAATCCCAGCACTTTAGGAGGCTGAGGTGGGCAGATCACCTGAGGTCGGGAGTTCAAGACCACCCTGGCCAACATGGTGAAACCACCTCTCCACTAAAA